TCAAGGACTGGAAGAGTGCATTGAAAAAGCTGCGCTGCCATGGAACAAACTCGTATCTTTGGCTATGGATGGTCCGTCATCAATGTGCTCCGAAAACATTGGTGTGGTTGGATTATTGAAGACCAAACTGAACAGCCTCAATATATCAGGAATTAGCTTCACCAGCATACATTGCATTTTGCACCAAGAAGCTCTGTGTAGTAAAAGTCTACAAATGAAGGAAGTTATCGATGTAGTTGTTAAAACCGTTAATTTTATATATGCACGAGGGCTGAATCACAGACAGTTCACTTCTTCTCTAGCAAGTATGGACAGCGAATATGGGGAACTTCTGCATCACACTCAAGTTAGATGGCTGAATCGTGGAGATGTTTTGAAGCATTTTTTTGCACTTAGAGTGGAGATTGATTCCTTCATAAAAATGAAAAACAAGGAGGTTCCATCTGCAACCTTGCTTTTCTAGCAGATGTAACTGATCACCTGAATGCACTGAACTTGAAGCTTCAGGGTAGAAAACGGGTGATAACGCAGATGTATGACAGTGTTCAGTCATTCAAAGTCAAGCTTACTTTGTGGGGGAAACAGCTGACTGCTGGCAATTTGGTCCATTGCTCAACTCAGAATTCCTTAGGAATAGTTGAACCCAAATCCTTGAAAGAATATGCAGATATCATTTCTAACTTAGACAAACAGTTTGATGCGCGGTTTAAAGATTTCAATGCACTTGAACCATATTTTCAACTTTTTTCCACACCATTTACTGTGGAAATTGACAATGTTGCAGAGGAAATGCAGATGGAGTTAGTGGAGCTTCAGTGTGATACCATTTTGAAGCAGAAGTATACAGATGCTGGAATACCAGAATTCTACCGGTTTCTTTCACAAGAAAGACTTCCCATGTTATTCTCTGCTTCTGCAAGGGTAATGGCAACGTTTGGAAGTACATATATATGTGAACAGTTTTTCTCTTCCATGAAGATTAACAAATCTGTGTTAAGGCAAGGCTCACTGATGAACATTTGAAAGCAACACTGAGATTGGTTTCGTCTCAGGATATCAAACCTAATACTGATGCTCTGGTTGATGCAAAACGCTGCCAGCTAAGTGGCCAAAAATGAAATGACTGTCAAAATCAGCACTGACTTTTCGCATTACAGTTTTAAAAAAATTAATACATTGACTTTGAATAGCATACTATATTACTCTTCATTTTTGACTATACCTTTGTATTGTTGTATGAAAAGGCTTCAGTGATGCAGCCCTCGGGCCAATGTACCAGTCCTCATGTGGCCCCCGTGGTGATTTGAGTTTGAAATCCCTGCACTAGGGGCAGCAGCTGCAAGGCTGTTTGCATTTTTTTCCCCTTGTATTTTTCCCATTGCTATGCAGCTGAAGGGCCACTACTGTCAATATAATAATTCCAATTTACTGCCTGACCAAGCAGTTCCTCAGCCCTCTAGAGTATGTTATGAATTATATTAAAACTAACACAAAGCTAACTAAGTCCAGGAACAAATGAAGACAGTTATAAGACCTTGAAGAGTTGCTGCAGGAGGCGCAGCAATGTCACAGAGAGAGGGTTCATTTTATGCTGCTGAGATGACAAGTACTAATAGCAGCTTACACCCACAATGGGAAAGCTGTAATATTTCTGATATGCTGGAGTCATTATCACCTGCACAAACACACTTGTAATCTATAATTGGGGTGAAGGACAAGAGGCAGGATAATAGGAGAAAAGATGGCTGTTCTGATTACAAGTGTATAGTGATGCACTTACATACCATATTCATTATACCTGACCTTATAAATGTTCCAGACTCTCTGGTTGGAATGAGAGATGAGAAATCAAAGGGTTCTAATTCTTTTCCTTAAGAGAACTGATCCATTCACCCTCCTTAGTGGAAAGGAGCAAACTTCCCGATAGGATTTTGTCAGATTTAACGCTTGGCGAATCACTTGCATGTTGCAAGTTAAAAATCGTGGCTGGCAAGCGTGGTGGCAGAGCAATGGTTACAAGCACAGCAAAGAGCTCAGCCTCCGGAGGGGAGGAAACCATTCTTCTGTTGAGCTCCAGAGAGCCAATCTTGCCACTCCCAAATTCCTCTTACTACAAGTGCATGCAGGATAAATCTTGGCCAGTGACCTCCTACAGGATTTGTTCAGAGCTGATACTATTCCCGAAAAACTGTCTTTCAACCTGCTAACTTTAAATAGTTTCCTCTGCATTTTGTTTTTGGCTGTTTACAACTAACCTCTGCTCACCACTGCATCCTCATATTCAATAGCTTTAGGACATTCTGTGAGTGCCTTCCTCACTGACACCTAGCAATCAGCAACAGCAATGGTGGTGGCTGCAATCTTTTTCATGGTTCAATGCCCAAAGTCCCCCTGCACCTTGAGCAATGCAGGAATGATGGTGATCCTGTGAAGGGGAATCTATTAGAGCAGGGGTGGCCAACCTGTGGCTCCAGAGCCACATGCGGCTCTTCAGAAGTTAATATGCAGCTCCTTGTATAGGCACCAACTCCGAGGCTGGAGGTACAAGCACCAACTTTCCAATGTGCCGGGGGGTGCTCACTGCTCAACCCCTGGCTCTGCCCCCACTTCACCCCTTCCCGCTCCCTCCCCGGAGCCTGCAGTGCCCTCGCTCCTCCCCCATCCCGCCCAAAGCCTCCTGCACGCCATGAAACAGCTGATCGGGAGGTGCGGGGAGGGAAGGGGAGGCGCTGATTGGCGGGGCTGTCGGTGGGTGGGAGGTGCTAGGAGCCGGGGGGAGTTGATGCGGGGGCTGCTGGCGTATTACAGTGGCTCCTTGGCAATGTACATTGGTAAATTCTGGCTCCTTCTCAGGCTCAGGTTGGCCACCTCTGTATTAGAGACTTACTCTGCAGCGGCAGCCTGCTGCTAACTGACTGTCTGCTGCTTCAGTCACAAGAGCCAGCAGGCCCAATCCTGCTCCCATTGAAATCAAAGGCAAGGCTCTCATTTATTTCAATGGGAGTGTAAACGGGTCCACTGACTTTCCTGGGAGTAGATAAAAAAAGATAAAGAAAAGAAACAGTATTTTTCAATTCACCTCACATAAGTCCACTTAGTCCTACTTCTTGTCCAGCTAACCTCTGAGACAAACAAGTTTGTTTATATTTACGGGGGCTAATGCTGCCTACTTTTTATTTACAATGGCACCTGCAAGTGAGAACAGGTGTTCACATGGCGCTGTTGTAACCGGTGTTGCAAAGTATTTACATGCCAGATGTGCTAAACATTCATATGCTCTTTCATGCTCCGACTTGTAGGCGCTAAAGTTTTACATTGTTTTGGTTTTGAGTGCAGTTATGTAAAAAAAATAAACCTACATTTGTAAGTTGCACTTTCATGATAAAGAGATTTCACTACAGTACTTGTATGAGGTGAATTGAAAAATATTATTTTTTGTTTATCTTTTGTACAGTGCAAATATTTGTCATCAGAAATAATATAAAGTGAGCACTGTACACTTTGTATCCTGTGTTGTAACTGAAATCAGTATATTTGAAAATGTAGAAAAACATGCACAAATAAATGTAAATTCGTATTCTATTATTATTTAACAGTGCAATTAAAACTCTGATTAATTATGACTTTTTTTTAATCTCATAATTGTGATTTTTTTTTTAATCGTTTGACAGCCCTAGTTTTTAGTGTTTCGATCTACAAGAATGTCTTTGTTTGGAAGAAGCCTTCCTAAGTGGTTGTGCAGGAAAGGCCACATACCCTACAGATGCCTCTTGCTTGCTGAGGGGCACAGAAGTGATCTGAAGTGTAAGTGTGCTGTCGAGCCCTACTGATACCAAATCAAGAGTCACCTGCCCAGTCCATAGGATTAACCCTTCCTGCCACCAGATGAATACAAGAACCTGGGACTCCCATTAGAAATAGATGTGGGCTGTCTGGACAAAGTTAACTTTCTCAGACAAAATTATTGTTTTCTAACAGACTTTGGGTAAAGATTTCCAAAGCACTTAAGTGACTTGGGAGCCAAAGTCCTATTTTCAATTGTGGCTTAGGCACCTGGGAGCCTATGTCAGACTGAAAGTCGATGAAATTTAGTCTCCATCATGCCTAAGTTACTTTCAAAAATGGGATTTAGGACTGGTGTGTACTCAAGAGTGTTTGCATGGCTCTAGCTCTGTTAGCTTAGAAACTGATAAAAGGGATACAACATGCTCAAAATGAACTGGAAAAGATGGAGAACAATATTACAGTAACCATAACTGTTACTTGTTACAACAGAAGGTAAATCATTTCCAGGAAGACGAGTAATTTTAATTAATTTATATTTATTCAGGCTGGGATTTTCATAGAAGCCTAAGACTTTGTCCACACTGCAGGTTACTTCGTTATAACTTCTATCGTTCAGGCAGGTGAATAATCCACACCCCTGAGCGACGTAAGTTACACTGACCTAAGCGCCAGTGTGGACAGCGCTATGTTGGCGGGAAAAGCTCTCCCGTCTCTCATGGAGGCAGGAGTTATTAAGCCAACGGGAGAATTCTCTCCTGTCGACTTAGAATGTCACCACCACAAGCTCTACAGAGGTGCAGCTGCACGGGCACCGATGTAGGTGCTGTAGTGTAGATGTAGCCTGAGAGAGTTGGGCTCAATTCCCAGTGACTTTCAGTCATCTTGGAAAAGCCTGGCCAAAGTGCTCAGATCCTCAGTTAGGAGGCGCTAAGTAAGTACTAAGTTTGGTATTATTAATGATTGATTTGAAAGAGGAATGAGCAGCCTAACAAGGACATTTTCCCTTTTACCGAATGTTAATGGATAACATGATCTAATGTATCAGATCTGAAACAATACTTGGTTGAACATATGTGGGTCCCAAAATCCAGTCCTAAGGATGAACATTTCCTGCTTCTCTAAGCGATAACTAACATACCATTCTTTATACGGGATCTCAAGTTGGCAAGGATTTGCCACTAACAACATGGCAGAGATGCAAGTTTCCATCTTACCCATAGTCATCAATCAGATGGGAGCCAAGCACCACGACATCAAGCTCAAAGAACTGTGGTTCTGCCTTAATGCCAAACATAATAGGAGCTAATTTTGAATAATCAGCTCGGTTGCAAGTAGCAACGCAAACCCGAAGTTTTCGGTTGTTCCCATTCTTCTCCATGATTTGTTTTTGTTTGGAAAGATTCTTGAAATACAGTTCCTGAAACAACAAAAAGCAAAGATTAATATTTTTCTGTACGGCCATAAAATTGCATGCTTAAATAATGAAAGACATGCGGCAGAATGCTATGCTAATTCCAGCGTGGAAATTTGGACAAGTGCTAACTGATCAAAAGATTACCATTTAGATAACAGGTACCTGGCTGGGAAAAACATGCTTTCAATTATAGGTATAATCTCAGATTGTGTGTGTGTGTGTTCAGGCACGCGCATATGTGCTTTCACAAAGGAAACAGATGTTTAGTGATTAAAGCAAGGGGCTGAACGTCAGGACTCCTGGGTTCTATTCCTAGCTCTGACACAGACTTGCTATGTAACCTTGGGGAAGTCACGAAGGCCTACATTTTCCACTAATTTTGGATGCCCAGTTTGAGTGATGTAAAGTCTGATTTTCAGAGATGTGGCACTATCCTGATTTAAAATGGGAGCTGTGGATGCTCAGTTCTGTTGAATATCAGGCCCAAAAAGTCTCAAGTTGGGCATTCAAAAATTGAGGCATCCAAAATTTGTGGACGCTTGTGAAAAATTTAGGTTTTAATACCTTTGAACCTTAGTTTACCTGACTTTAAAATGGAGATAATGATGCAAACACATCGTGAGATTCAATTGTAATTAAAAGCCTGCAAAATGCTTTGAAATGGTCAGATTAAGTGCAAAGTTAATATTATCTTCCTGGATGACAGTCATATCCCAAAACCCCATAATGGAAAGGACTGTTGGGAGATACCCAGGGCTACACTAACAAAGACACTGTGTGACCACCAGAAGAAAGTAGCTCCTAAAAATTAGGCATCAACTCCTTTATGAGCAGCACAGAAACACTATGTAAGTGAGGGGCTGCCACTAAACCAGGCTTATAACTATGACCCTGATTGTGATCACATTTGCATTGATGTAAGTTAGAAGTGATTCCACTGAAGTCAATGCAATTACACCAGTGTAAAACCAGCTTGCGGTCAGAATCAGGCTCTAAAACATCATGATTCTTATCAATCTTCAGCTACTACTAGATACTCAGTTCTCTCCTATTTCCCCTGACACACACGTGCAAGTACAGGACACAGTCCCCTAACTTTAATGTATATAATAAACTGGCATTACATCTGATCTTTTTTTTTTAAACAGATGTTCAAGCTTCACGAACAAGACAAAGTAAAAAGAATGATCGGATTATTCCTTATATTGGTGTAACGTTGTAATGGAGTATTTTATGAGTTTAAATGACAAGCTTCACAAAACAAGACAAATTTTGTACCACTAATTTTCCTACTCTGAACCTCCCCTTCACAACAGAAAAGGAAGATCAGTTAAGTGTCAGCTCACTGACTGGGGCTCAGTTCAGAGATCTTCATATATCAGAAATCTTCTGACCCTTATTCTAGCTCACATTTTAAATTTGCAGTAGAGGAGATAGCCTCAGAAAGTTTCCAGAATCTTTAACACCTGAACACACTGGCCAGGAATCATCCATGTAAGCAAAGGGGATGAAAACACAGTGAACTTCTGGACTGGGGAAAGGAAACACTTGCGGAACTGGATCTCCACAGTGGGCTTCCACAGATCCATGAGGGTGAGCAAAAGGTGACAGGCATTTTCCTCTCATTCTCCATTGGAGCTGCGCTGCTGTGGAGACCGGAGTGAACAGGAGTGGGCCAGAGGCTCCAAAGACAGTGGGGAACTCAGATCTTGGGGCTCTATTGGGTTTAGGGGCTGAACCTCCTTCTCATTCCATGGGAAAACCATCCACAGGAAACGCAGAGAGGGAAATCTGAGTTTCCGTCTCACACACAACAGGCTGGTAGGGTTTACCCAACACCCCTCACCTTGTTAGCAGGTGTTGAGCCTGCTGGGAAAGGGTTCAGTGTGTTAGTCAAATCCACTGAAGACTCTTGTTCCCCAATCTGGATATAAAGGAGGCAGGAGTGGCCTCTGGGGAGAGGTAAAGGCTGAGCAGTCCTGAGGCAGGAAACCTTCAGTGAATGTCTGTAGAACAGGGCTGAGAAAGGTGCCAGCTCACAGTTTGGTGCAGAAGTGTTGACACAGAGGAGAAAAATAAAGGCATAACGCTAGAAGTCATGAAAGGAAAAATCTACCACAAGATGCTTGAATTCACATCACTGCACACAGTGTACCTGGCCACCTAGGTCATGAGTGCTATAAAGGAGTCAACTTGTAATAGGCATGTACATTTAATTAAATGCTTACCAAGGGCCTGAAAAGTTAATGAAGAGTTAAAGGGCTGTGGGATCAGGCCCTGAATGTTTTCTGCCCCCACCTACACACCATTAGTCTCTTGTTCTCAAAAGGTCACTTATCACTTCCAAACAGGTAAGCTACAGAACAAATATTGGGAAGTCTGTCATATTTACATTACATTAGAAGAGTGATCTCTTTTTGTCCTCAGAGTTTCACTGTGTGCACATTGCTCAATAAATCTCCTCCTCCCCAGAAACTCTTACATAGTTTCAATCTCTTGCTAACTAATAGCCAAATAAGAAAGTTATATCCTCCTACAGAAGTGACTCAGTTTTCGTGGCTTCATACTAACGGATTAGGTAAATACTTCCTTCTATTATGCCTTCCTGAGTTGTCGCAGACCTCTTTTCCTCACTGCTCCATATCAAATCCCGCTTCTGTTAACTTGAGTCCTGAGAGCACTCAATCCTGAGAGTTCATGAACACTCACAGTATAACATCAAGCTAATTAGATCAGAACACTCATAGAAACTGAGTTCTTGCTGGTTTCATCACTAATGAAATTAAGATCAGCAGACTTGCTTCTAGCAAAGCCATGTCTTCATCTGAAGTTGCTGCCTTTTAAAGTTTATCTTCATTGGCAGACAAGATGGCTTTTCCCAACCTTAGTTTGAGTCTCTACAGTTTCCTAAAATCCTGAATGAAGAGTTTAGATTTCAGTTACTGTGCAGAGGCTCTCTGTAAATGCAGTCAAATACTGTACTGCCAATGCATACCACTTTATAGGTTTACACTAAAGACCTCACAGCAGCACAGCTGTACCAATGCAGCTGCACCTCTGTAAGGTCTCTTGTGTAGCCGCTCAATACGGATAGGAGTAGGCTCTCCCCTCGACATAATTAAACCACCCCCAACGAGCAGCGGTAGCTTTGTCATTGGGAAATGCTCTGCCGCAGATATAGCGCTGACCACACCGGCGCTTCTCTGGGTGTAACTCAGTGGTTCTTAATCTGGGGTGCACGCACCCCCTGGGGGCGTGAGATGCCCTTTCTGGGGGTGCGAGACAGGCCAGATTTTTTTAGAAGGTAAATCATCGAAAACACAAATTAAGCACAGGCACGTAAGTACAACTACTTTGTTTCATCAAACCTATGTATTTATTATTATACGTTTTTTAACGATTACTGTAATATACAAACAAAAAAATTATTTTCACATTTTTAAGCTAATTGTAGTGAAATTATCTCACTACAAAATACAGTGTACCACCACGTTGCGGGGTATTTCTTGATGCATGCACAGATGATGATGTGAAGCATATATATATATAGTTATGATATATCTAGGTTTAAAAACTGACCTACTTCAATGATTTTTGATAAGGGGTGCAAGAACATATTTTGAGAACCAAAGGGGTGCAGGCTGCAGTAAAGGTTAAGAACCACTGGTGTAACTCATGTCGCTCAGAAGGGTGTTTTTTCACACCTCTGAGCGACATAAATTATACCAACAAAAGTAGGAGTGCAGACATAGCCTCAGTTTCACTGTTTCCCATAAGAGTTCATTGGTCAGTTTACCCTGCTGTTTGTGTGGATATTACACACAGCAACAGAGGAGACATACTTTGTAGAAATAGAAAACTGTGGTTGTGAAAACACAAAAATAGGCAGGGGAAACTTGGTAACAGGTGCACCACCTGAAAGCTACTTTTAACACACTTCTTGAAACTGGATAGCTTTTAAAATGATAATGTCCTTTTGACAAGTTATGAAAATTAGGAACTCAAAATCTCCTACAACATTTCTCAGTGTTTCATTTTTGTGTAATAACATGTCAAACAAAAAGTTTCAGTTTTCCAGAATGATCTGGAAACAGACTGTTCAGCTTTAACTGAATCACATAAACAGAATATATTTTAAAAAACATTTTTGTTCCGTTTTGATAAACAGGTGAACAACTGGGCATGTACAGCTATATAGGTATGCCAATTAACTTCCTTCTGTGGCTTCTCTCACACATACTACCCCTATGGTTGGGCCCTTTTAAGAGCCAGGCAGTGAGTTCCCGGGCAAGACAGAACCTTTAATCTCACCGCACCAGAGCAGGACTGATTTTACACTCACTTTTGAAAGACTGCTTCCTTCTGCCAAACCAAATATCTCTGCTATCTATCTGGGCACAAGCACCAGCCCTTCTCCAGGTCAGATTCCATAATTATGCAATGGCAGGAATTTCAGACCCCTCCAGAGCATTGCTTAGGGGCTGCATGTCAGTAGCACAAAGCACTACCCACAAGAGTTAAGAATGTTACCACCACTCCCTGATTAATTAAATGAAAGGCAATGGGATTCAAACTCTGACCCTCCATTCGGAAGCTTGGTGCAATAAGCTAGCGTTATGCAATCCTTCAAAGTAGACTTTTACTATCCTTCTGAAATTCTTTAGAGTCTTAAGAATTAGATTTCTTCTTGCCCAATTTCAAGTGCAACTGGAAAAGTTTTCTGTGTTTACAAAGTTTGACCATTCAAAGACACATATGAAAAGCTATCACATGTAAACAAACATGAAGTAGAAAAATAAAAATGAACTGAGCAACTTTACAACACAGGCTGTCAGTGGTAGACATTATATCATTTACTTGGCAATAAAGTCAGTTCCTTTTATTAAAAGGGTAATGGAAAATGCTAGAACACACCAGGCTACCAAATCTAGGATTTATTTTTAAACCTATTCCTGTAAGTTTAAGCAAAACACAACAGGCCAGTTCAATTAGCTGACTTTTTTCAATATGTTTCTCAGAAACATTTCTCAAACTGGAATTTTATAGAGCAATTGCACCTAGTTTCCCCTGAAAAACCACACGTGTGACACGTAGGGGCTCTGGCTATGCCAGCTGCAAGATACTATCAGTCAGTCAGGAACTAGTTTCCTTCAGGCGTTTCAGTGCTTTAAACTCAAGACTTCAAACTAGTTATGGGATAAGAGACCTGATCTGGTCAATTAAGCCCCAAAACAGGAGCTCTACTTCCCCTCGTGTCAGAAAGGGGTTACCACTGCTACCCATGTAATTATGTCTCCAGCATGACAAATCTATTTTCTCTTTTATACAATTAGAAACCTTACCTTTCGCTTTCCTTTACGCAAACTGCAGTGAAGGTTAAAAGGATTAAATATTAATATATATGAAAAAAGAAGCTATGCTATCTTCCATTGGCTAACTCCACCAACTTTTCACTTCCTCTACACAAACTGCAGTGAAGGTAAAAGAGGATTAAATATTAATGTATAAGAAGTAGCTCTCCTATCTACCACTGGCTAATTCCAACCCCTGCTCTTTTTTTTTTTTTTTTTTTTTTTAAAGAATCTGTAAATCATGTTTAACTCCTGAATCACTGCACAGACTGGTTTCTAACTCCTCAGGTAAAACAGCATAATACCTAACAAAACAAAGAGCTAACCTCCAGTACTCTGTGGGTCAAGTTATGTCAAGGGTACAATACATCTCATTACATTACAATGGATTGTCTTTAATGTCTCATCTAATGGGCATCCTGCACCAGATTTAATCTCCTGGGTTGTTTTGTTTTTAACCTTTATACATTCCCTCTACAATCGAGGTTTGTGCGAAGGTTAATATTGAGATTACTGCTGGAGCTATATTCTGAACAAGCAGATAATAGCCCTAGCCAGACTGCATGAGTCAAGAGTAAGTCAGATGAGCCCAAGTGGAGGGGATGGGAAAGTTTGCCCCAAGTTTTGAGCAAGCAAAGCAATACTAAAAAGGACCACTTACAGTCACAGACATTTCCACTATTTCTAAAGCAGCAGTAGCCTATTATCTTCTCAGCTGGACATTAATTCTACCTTCTACAGCTGATTAGTTGAGTTTAGTAATCCTACTACTCAGAGGACTCATCACTAACAGCAAGGCTTCTCCCCTAGCCCTGTCACCTGCTCCAGAGACCCCTTCCCGCCTCCTATTTCATGACCTCACTCTTAACCCCTCCTTAGCCTCGCTACTCCCTCTGGTTCTCTCCTCTCAGAATACAAGTATGGTCTGGTCTTCCCAAAGGCCCCATGTACCTGTAGCAAACTCAATTTAAGTTCTGCAGCTGACTGCAAAGTTTGTGGCAACTTCATTATTAAATATTCCCCTTTTTAAAACAGGAAGGAAATATAAATATGAACAGACACAGCAAAGTAGTCCCTTTTATAAACCTTGATACTAAATTCAATTTAGTTTATGCCATCCCCACATTTTCAATGTGCTGCAGATATTTCTACTGACAATACTTAATTCCATTGTAGAAGTTGTCAAGGGAGAATGAATAAGAAATAGCCGGGGCTTTTAGCAACTGTAGAGTTGAAGAAGGCGGTCTGGGATTGCGATAAGCACACCAACTAGATCTTTGTGCAAAAATGATCAGCAATGAAATAGTGCTAACACTAAATTGTCATTAGGTTTCCTATGAAACGCTGCTCCACTGAGAGGAATCGAGCAGTCCGTAACTCTCAGATAACGTTTCAGGCTATCTGCATACTTAGAAAGACAACGCTCTATTGGTTTAACCTTGAAAACATGACCCAAGTATATCTTTGTAAATATGAGGAAAGGAACATTTCATTTAAATAAAAGTTAAGATTCAGGACCACAATGCTATCGCAAGGTGCAGATTCCACAGCAAATCCTGCAATTTGGGAATTTACAGGGACCAGGAGCATTCTCATCCTCAAAAAGGCTCTCTCATTGACTCCAACTACTGCCTTATCTCCCTTCAAATCCAAACTCATGGACCCCCCCCCCCACACACACACACTCTCCCCCCATCTACAACTTTTGCCTTAAAT